ATCTGCTCTTCCCGAGCCGGCAGCACGCAGAGAGTCGCAGAAAGGCTACGAGTGCTCGACGAGTTTTGAGACCTGCGCGGTCAAACCTGGGGGGAACTGACCGCACCAGGACGGACGTCCGAAACCTGCGTGAGCACCTTTGACGGTTCTCGCTCCCTATCGAGCTCTTCTTGCCGTACGGCTCTTCCTGTGTGTGCCGGCACAGAGCTCCGTGCAAGCCGTCCAGCGTGACGTGACGAGTATATCGCTTCGACGGATCGACCGTGCGTGTTATCAAGACCGATGTGACGTACACAGTGACACATCAGACGACACAGATTCTCCCACCCGCCGGGCCGCCAAAACGCTCTCGACGAGAGCGACAAGAAGCCGTCCGCACAGCAAGCCGGTGGAGCCGAGCGCGCGGAATCGACGATGGCGTGCCGGCCATGGGCCCGGACGAAGGTCCTGGCTCGAAAACGCGAGCAGAGGCTGCCGTGTGGGGCCACGGCGAGCCTCGGGCGAGAAAGACAGCTCTCGGTAGAGAGGAGCTGCTATATAAAAATCCTGATTGGGTAGAGCGGGGTGCGGTTTTTGCATTTTTTTTTGCTTCTGAACGTTGGTGAGCATCGATGGCGTCGAGCAGCCACAGCTCACCTCCGCAGCCGGAGAGCGAGCGCCTTGCGGGACTGCCGCCGGTGTGCACATTCCTCTCGCCCGCTGCCGTGTCACTGTCGATTGCGCGGGCCGCCTCCCGCCTCGCTGCGCTCGCCCGCCGACCCGCACGCTCCGCCACCGTCTGCAGGAGTACTTTCTGCCTCTCGAGGACTTTGATGCGGTGGGGCATATGCTGCAGTGCCTGCCCGAAGAGGGGCTCGGCGAGAGCTACCTCGCGGCGCAGCTCGACCAGACGCAAGACGTGCTCGAGGAGATCAACTCGAAGTTATCGGCGCGCGTGATGCGTTCGTACGGCGCATTTGTGCACGGGATGGCGCAGGTGCAGCAGCTCAAGTCGGACCTGGTGCTCACGGCGATCCAGTGCCGCGCGGCGCGCAAGCACCTCAGCCGTGTCGAGACGGGCACAGTCAACCCCGGCCTCAACATTCTCGCACGTCTTCGGCGCA